TCATTCTGTCTCTTGAGTTGTTGGCTTTATCAAGTGGCAGCAGGATTGGGCCTTTTCTCAGTTACATAACACAAATTGCAGATTTATTAATAGATTTATTTAAGCAAAGTTTCTGTTCTTTTCTTTTTTCTTTTTTTGGCACTAGGGAATGAACTCAGGGACACTTGATCACTGAGCCATATCCCCAGACCTATTTTGCATCTTATTTAGAGACAGACAGGGTCCTACTGAGTTGCTTAGCACCTTGTTTTTGCTGAGGCTGAGGCTGGCTTTGAACTTGAGATCCTCCTGCTTCAGCTTCCTAAACCTCTGGGATTACAGGGGTGTGTCACCACATCTGGCAAGCAAAGTTTCTTTAAATGTACTTAATCAATACTTAGTTGTCTATTTTTTCTTGATGGTTATAGTGAAATTTTTGATATCATAACATATACTCTGGAAGAGAAGTTAGTGTATTGCTGCTTCAAGAATGTTGAAGCAGCAGAGAATGTGTGGTGCTGTGTTCATCAGAATATTTAATTATGGATTGTAGCTTAATAAATAAAGAAAACAAAGGGAATAATTGGATTACATTTCATAAAGTGACACAAATCCATTTCCCTACAGATTTAAGCCTTTGCCCAGGACTCTCGGATCAACACAATCTCTTCCCTGGCAGTCCATTTCTCGTGTTTGTTTCGTGTGTGTGTCTCCCTTCTTTCCCCCTTAGTGAATATCCATAGCACTTGTGGCCTGCTACCCAGGCCAGCAGACATTCTGCCTAAAACAATCACAGCTTTGCAGTTTAGAAGAGAGTGTTCATGCACTAGTGGGGTCACAGGGCCTGGGAATATAAAAAGAAAGACTTTTTAAAAAGACCCAGTTTTACTTCCTGATTTTACAGCTGGTAAAACGAGAGCCCAGAACACTGAACTGATTTTCCCGGGGTTATAGAGATGTTATTACCACATCATTTTCATCAGGAGCTAATTACTGAAGCATCACAATGCATCAGGGGTTGTTCTAGGTATTGGGAAAGAAGATAACCAGGATTCCTGCCTCCATGAAGTTCATGTTACTGTCACAGTTATGAAATTTTGTGTATTTATTAGAATAGAGGACTGTTTAATTGCTTATCAATAACAGATAATGGGCTTTGATTTCACAAATGCTTCTATCTTTTTCCCAATTTCCCAATTTATCTTTTGTGTGTATGCATGACTATCTTTCTAGAGTATTCCTTTGGGTGGCAGCAAACTGCTTTTCCTTCTCTATTGTGCATACCCGTGGCAAGCTCAAGTCTATTGGTAACCTATTGTCAGGGCATATTTTCATGGGTCAAAAAAAAAAAAATCCTTGCATTCACTTTCTACCCTACTTTAATAGCAGTGTCACATCTGAATATTGTATGCAACTCAATTGGGTGGATATTTTTCCAACTCTTAGAGTCTTTTAGCTACATAAAAATTGAAATTAACCTGATAAATGTATATTCTATTGTCTATTAAATGGCAGCCAATACTATTTTAATTTCTTTAAATTTTAATTCATGTTTTGGGTACAATAAAGCAATAGTGTTTTAAAACCTTAAAGCAAACAGTGCTTAGTTAAATATCTAAAAATCAGCTTTATCAGTACTCTGATATCAAGCATGATTAATTAGCTCAATATTTTATATTTTTACTTCCTTTGGACCTTATTTTTTGGGGGGGATGCTACTGGGGATTGAATTCAGGGGCACTCAACCACTGAGCCACATCTCCAGTCCTGTTTTGTATTTCATTTAGAGACAGGGTCTCACTTAGTTGCTTAGTGCCTTGCTTTTTCTGAGGCTGGCTTTGAACTCATGATCCTCCAGTCTCAGCCTCAGGAACTGCTGGGATTACAGGCATGTGCCACCACACCTGGCTCCTTTAGGCCGATGTAGACTCAGCTTTTATTAAGAATTTTCAAAACTACAAACTGAAGCCATTTTTTCTCTTTTTTAAAAGATAAAATTCCTTTGAGCTTTCTAAAAGTATATAAATTACTTAACTTGTAGGCAGAATATTATATTTATTTTTTTCTAGATAGAGGCCTTGATTTTCATTGCAATCTCAAAGAGATCTGAGGTACTTTCCAGATTAAAAGCCCTTGTTTTAGACTGCTCTTCCTAGCATTGATTTAATAGTGAATATCATCTTACAAATGAGGAAGCACTGAGCCAGGGAAGGGGTGGAGGTGTATCTCCACAGGCTGAAAATTAAACTTGTGGCTCAGGAACTTGATATGTTTGGAAAATGAAGAATGGTTTTGCCACCACAACTGGGCAGATTTCCTCATTTATAGTACTCAGGATGGATTCTGCATCCCAAAAGCTGATTCCCAACCTAGTGGGAGGGGGTGGAGTGGGGTTTGGGAATCTGAAATGCTGGCTCATGTTTGCATAGGAATATTCAACTTTGTTCCAGTGTTTGGCTGTATGACAAGAGCAGCTCTCTTCTATCCTATCAACCCCAAATCCAGTTTCACTCCAAATAGGAAGAAGTTGATTTGGACCACGGAAAGCTCCAAGGAGCTCAGGATCTCACTGCAGTTCTGAGGATTTTTCTGGGCCTTTGGAAGTTCATGCCAAGGGAGCTCATGTCTTGTAATAATTCCTTAGGTCTGTGTGTTCTCTGTGTGGGATTTCCTAGCACACAGATGATATTTTTTTACATTTTAGAACAGAGTCCATTTTTCTTCCTAAAGCTTAAGAGTGAGAAGGAACTCTTATTCCAGAGTCTGTATTTAATAGTCATTTTTCTTTCCACTCTCTTTGGAAATCTAATAATAATGGGCTGGCCTTGCTGCTTTTTTCTATATCCTTCGTTCTCAGTTATTTATTACCAGAATTATTATTATTCATTAATCTTAATAATGGACACTTTTTTCACTGCAGACTCAATTGTTAATTTCTCTGGTACCATTTGATGCCAGCGAGGAGATAGAAAGTAAATGCTAAACCAATATAATATTATTCTAATAATTTGTTCTTATGAAAAACAAGGAGGTACAGTTCAGCTATCAAAAGTGAAAATGGAGCAGGTACCTTTTATGGTCCCATCCATATCTCCTTTCTCTTGAAGATCATAAACGCCTTCAGATACTTCAACTGAACACAGAATTGGAAAGAGTTCTCTGTGTAGGGGACTTTGAGTTATGTGAACAGACATGAGCTGTGGATTTGTCTGAGGAACTTGAGAAGACTGTATGAACATGAGGTGGAAGGACAGGAGGTGATGGGGACAAGTGGCAGGGCCTGAGATAAAGGCCCTCCATCCTCATCTGAAATGGGGGATTGCTGGGCATCAGATTGTTGTGGGTGAGACAATACACAGGGAGAAGTAGAACATCTTCCCAGAATTCCTTCATGACATTTGTTTAAAAGAAATTTGTTGATGGCCACTTGCAACAGAAATCAAGACCACAAGGGACGTGAGTGAAAGCTGACCTCTTCTGTGCAAGATAATGGGCAATCAAATCTGTCATCCTGAGGAGAAGATGCTGGAGTTGCTGAGAGAGTTGGGGTGGAGCTTCAGAGAAGGGGGAGCCCTGGCTGCAGGGTGCGATTTCCCTTCTGCTATTAAACTCAGCAAATGCTGAGTTGAATGGATTTAGGGACGTTGCTAATCTCTGAGCTCAGATATACATGAACAGATGAAGGACAGCCTAGGAAGAGATGATGCAGAGCAGAGAAACTGGGCTGTAGGTGCTTGTAGAAGGCAGGTGTGGACATCCTGGCCATGATTTTGAAATGGGCTAAATTTAAGCCCGTCTCAAAGCAGTAAGGTGAGAAGGATTTGGGGTTATCAAAGTTTCTGAAAGGCCATTCTTGCAGCTATGAGGAAGATGAGCTAGAGTGAGGGCCAGGAGCGCATAGTCCAGGGGAGTAGTCCAGGGGAGGCCGGGAACTCACATCCTGATAGTGGGTCTTATTAAACATGAGTCTTCTAGGTAAACTCCCTTAACTTCCTGTCCTCCAACTAAACATGTATTTATAACTGCGTCACACCCTTCTCACTTCCTTTCTTCTTAAGAAACAATGTTCCTTTATAGTCCCAATGAATTATTGACCCCGTGGCCCTTGATCCCCTGATTAGATATTTTATGGTAATTTTAACTTCTCTTTCTCTCTCTGTAGCTCCTTTCTCTTCCATACGCAAACTCGCTTCTCAATCTCTCACAGCCTTTCTTTTACAATAGGTTTCAATTTTTATCAAAACCTGACTATTCATTGTAGAAAATTTATAAAATATAGGAAAAGTAAAACAAATAAAATCATTTTTGCCATGTACATCTTCAATCTCCTTTTCTCTTATGTATACATACAAATATATTGGAATAGAAACATTCAGACCAGTTTCAAAGAGAATTTTAATTCTTGTGGATCTTCATTTCTTTGGAGCACTTGCAGAATGGGGTGGGATGTATGTGGAGTGGGTGACATTTAGGAAAGCAGGAAGGCAGGTTCCTTTGAACTAAGACAAGGTCAGAGGATGGAGGGGGGAAGAAAAAGCTCATACATCTTGGAAGCATGGATAATGACAATGAGATATTATCCTAGAAGACAGAGGCCCAATTGCTCAGGAAAAACTTAGTGAAAAGGCCTAAGAAGGACCACTTTGAAAGAAGGACCACTTTGAAAGACATTGTTTAAAAGACAGGAGCCACACAAAACCACCTCACCACCTGTCCTTTCCTTAAGAACCTACAGCTGTGCCCTATGCCTTCCCACCTCAGTGGAGCCCAAGAATAGAGATTCGCCCTTTGGCTGCCACACATGAGTGCATGCTCCCACACCATGATGCTTCTCTCAGCACCTGCATGCAAACCCAGCATGGACAGTCCCTTTTATGATGTCCCAGGGCACTTGTACATACAGGTAAGGGCCAAGCTTGTCTAGATAAGCGGCAGTGGGGAAACCTGCTCTGTAATTAGTAAGGAGAAGGAAGAAGATAGAACTAAGCAATTGTGAACCCTGTTTTCTGTTTACAGTTTTCAAAATCCAACTGGATTGAGCTATCATTGTCATATATGCTGTGCATAAGTATAAAAGCTGATAAATTTGGAATGCTGTACACCTGCGAAACCATCACTACCACCAGAAAAGTGAGTCTCCTATCTGTCACCCTCCAGGTTTCCTGTTACCCTTCTATCATGCCTCCCACCCAGCCTTTCTCATTTGGTCACTGTAGATTAGTATGCATTTTCTAGCGTTTTATATAGATGGAATTATATATTATTTTTTACGTTTCTTTTATTGATCAAAATTATCCTATGGTTCATCCATGTTATATCATGTATCAATATTCATTTCTTTTATTGCCATGGTATATTTTAGTGTTCCATTAAATGGCAGTACTACATTTGTTTATTCCTTCATCTGTTGATGAACATATTTCCCCCCCAGTTTGGAGCTTTTGAAAATAAAAGTTCTATGAACAACCATGTACAAGTCTTTGTATGTACATGTTTTTATTTCTATTGGTTAAATTCCTTTGAGTGGAATGGTTAGATTACACGGGAGACATATGTTTAACTTTTTGAAAGACTTGAAGTGGTTGTGCTATTTAAATTCCCACCAGTACTATGCGAGGGTTCCAGGCAGCTTCTCCTAGCCCTTGGCATCATGGGTCATTTATATGTTAGCCATTCTATTAGGGTACAATGGTGGATGGTTGTGGTTGAATGTGCATTTCTCCAGTGGCTATGTTGACATCTTTATATGGGATTATTTGCCATCTGTCTATCTTTAGTGACACATTTGTTAAAATTTTTTGCCAATGTTTATTTATTAGGTTATTTGTTTTCTTATTGTTGAATTTTCAAATTTCTTCATTTATGTGAGATATACTTCCTTTAACAGATAGTAATTTGGAAATATTATTTTTTAATATGTGGTTTGTCATTTCATTATCTTAACAATACCTTTTGAGGAGTAGACATTTCTAATTTTGATAAAGACCACTACATCAATTTGTTGTTTTATGGATCTTGTTTTTTATAACATACCCAAATATCTTTGCCTAACCCAAAGACTTAAAGGTTTTCTCATGCTAATATTATCGTTTTAGAATTAATATTTATAGGACACATTTGGAGTTAATTTTTGCATGTGGAGTGCAACATGGACTACAATTTATTATTTTACATTTGTTGAAAAAAATTATTTCCTTTCTGAATTGCTTTTGCACCATTGTCAAAAGTTAGTTGCCTGTATTGACATGAATCTATTTCTAGACTCTCAAGTTTGGTCTACTGATTTATCAGTTTTGATGCTGATATTAAATATCTTGATTACTGTAGCTTTACAATATAATTTTTAAAATTTGTTCTTATTAGTTATACATGACAGTAGAATTTATTTTGACATATTATACATATATGGAGTATAACTTCCTATTCTTCTGGATAATGTGGAATTACATTGGTTGTGTACTCATATGCACATAGGAAAGTAATATCTGATTCAACCTATTTTCTTTCCTATTCTCATTTGCATTAAAATATTTTTCAATCAGGTATTGTTAGTATTTCTTCAATTTTGTCCTTCTTTTCCAAAGTTAATTTGGCTACTTTACTTCCTTTGCATTTCATATGAATATTATAATTAGATTGACAATTTATGTAAAAATGCCTGTTGGGAATTTTATTGGTAGGTCATTGAAGCTGCAGATCAATTTAGTGGGAGCATTTGACTTTGTCAAAATATTGACTTTTCCAAACCATGAATATAGTATACCTCTCTGTTTACTTATATATTTAATTTCTCTCATTAATGTTTTGTTGTTTTCAATGTGTTAGTCTTATAGCTCTTTTTTCATATTTATCCCTAAATATTTAATGATATAAATACTATTGCAACTGGTATTTTTTAAAATCCACGATATATATATATATATATGATATATCATATATGATATCTATAAATATATATGATATATATAAGATTCATTTTATATATTGAAATTGTATTTTGCAATATTGATAAATTCACTTATCAGTCCTTATAGCTTTTGGCAGATTTCATTAGATTTCTTATATAATCATGTCATCTATGAATAAACACCATTTTACTTAATGCTTTTCAATCTAAATATTTTGATTTTTTAATTATTTTATTGCATTGTCTAGCAAAATATTGTACACATTCGTGATTATTTCATTAACATAAGTTCTTAGAAATAAAATTGTACTGAGAAATTTTGACATACTCAAGTTCCTGATATATATGACTAAATTGTACTCCAGGAAAATTATCCCCAAAACACTACCTGTATGTTTTAAATTATCCCAAATTATTTCACTACCTGTATGTTTTAAATGCCAATATAAGGTGATAAAATTAATATCAGATTATTGTTTGAATTTTTCATTTTTAAGGTGGCTTTTAAGGTAGAATTATGTGTGCGTATGTTTACTTTTGGCATGGTATAGAATTTTTTTCCTATTTTGTATTGTAAATTTATTTTTGTTGCTCATCTTACTGATTTCTAAGAAATCTTTTATTTCATACCCAGTAAAAAAATCCATCTCTGTGGAGCACAGAACCGCACACTCACAGCTCCTGCTTGCTGCTGCTGTGCCGGCAACCTTTTGAAAGCATTTTCTAAAGTTCCCAGATGTCAACTCTTTCTCATCTTCTCTTGATTCTTCAATTTCTTGAAACCCAGCTGTTAAAAACATTACTCCACTAAAATCTCTCTTGTCAAAATTATTGATATTGGCCAGGCATGGTGGTGCACACCTGTAATCCCAGCAGCTCTGGAGGCTGAGGCAGGAGGATCACACGTTCAAAGCTAGACTCAGCAATTTAGTGAGGCCCTAAGCAACTCAATGAGATGCTGTCTCTAAATAAAATACAAGAATGGGCTGGAGATGTGGCTCAGCAGTTAAGTACACCTGGGTTCAATCCCTAGTACAAAAAAAAAAAAATTACCCACAGTGTCCTAAGCTTATAAGTCCTGTCTATTGCACTTGACACTGTCAACTCTGGTAACAGTTGTTAAGACTTCTGGATTCAAGAGTGTCATTCTCCTTTGGTTCTTTGAACCTCTTTAGCAGCTAATGTTTATCAGTCATTCTGTTGGCTCCTCTTTCCCACTTGCCCTTTCACCTGGGTTCGTATAGGATAAAGAGGGATAATTAGGACTCCTCTTTGTCTTCATTCTCCTTACACTTTCTCCTTCTTTCTCATCAGTTTCTTCCTGACTGGTCTGAGCCTGAAGCTTCTGGAGATATTGTGATTCCATTCACATTTCTGAGTTCAGACTCAACCACTCTCAGACTGAGTTCCCAGACCTGGCTGGTTTGTAGGCAGCTCCAACTCATGTTGTTTCCCCAGATTTGTTCATACCATCATGCATGTTCTTCATCCATTAAAAATTAAAACATTTGCCCCAACTCTCCAATCAGAAAACAGAATCATGGTGAAACCCTTCCTCCACCTCCTCTCTCCTCTTGAGTCCTGGCAGCTTCCTCTCTGTCTCCTCAAGAGCTAATTTAATTGATTTAATTTTCTATCCTGTTTACTAGCTTGAATGTTGTGCAGGGCTCATTCACCTGGACAATTCCTGCTCCACATATTGCTGTGAGTGAGTGATGTTTGAACAGTGCAGACATATTAATTCCTTATTTAACACCCACAACTGTTTTCCATTTCCTTCTTGATTAAGTTGAAATTCTTTCACAAAGCACCCTATATAATCTGACACTTGCTTTCTTTATAACCTCATCTATTATCTGTCTCAGTGATAATATATATTAATAAATGTATATTGTTAATCTTATATTCTAAGAATATAATTCTATTCTTACTTCTATCTTATTTATTTATTTATTTTTGCAGTACTGGGGTTTGAACCCAGTGATGCTCTACTACTGAGCTACATCTCTAGCCATTTTGTTTTTATGTGTTACTGTGAGACAAGGTGTCCCTGAGCTGCTGAGGCTGGCCTTGAACTTGTAATTCTCCTGCCTCAGCCTCCTGAAAGGCTGGGATTGCAGGTATGGGCCACAGTGCCCAGCTTCTGACCTCTATTTTAGATAAGGGCAAAAGGCTAAAGAACTTGCCTGTGGTCATCTTTCTCTCTGATAAACTGGCTATTTTCAATTTGAGAGTTCCTTTTTCACTATGCATTTAGATGTACTATTCTCTTGCTTAGAATGTCCTCAACACTCAATATCTCACTGGAAACATGTGGTCACCATCCATGCCAGTTTCAACTACTTGCCCCTGTGGGAAGTGCTTCCTAATCCACCCAGGAAGACAGGTCTGTCCCTGCTCTGAACCAAAGAGATAGGGCATCGTGGTGCTTACAACCCTAAATGTGGCCATAACCTGGAATAAAGCTCCAACTTAATTAACAGCTCCAGCTTGCCAACTTACACAACTTCTTTAACCTCTCTAAGCCTCTGTTTTCTCATTTGTGCTGAGAACATCTAGTTCCTTTTTCTTGGGAGGGTTACATGGGGCTGGGCACACGGCAGAGCGCACAGCACAGTGACACTGGCAAGCAGTCAGGAGCTTCTCACTGATGATCATGGCCATTGTTGGGATGCTCTGAGTGCACAGTTGTTGCTGTAAATGATCTTAACCTCTACTAAATTCACTGAGTGACATCTCAGGAGGAACACATCAGAGGCCTGATATTCTGTATATTTACTGAAGCATTCATGGTTATATATTACCATCATTTAATCGACCATGGTTCTCTATTTGCTTTGGCTGCTAAAGGTTTTGGAGGCAAGTTACTCTTCCCTTCTAACTGTGTACAGGACCCTGGGTACACTATTCCATTGCCTGATTTTTCTCTCCCCCATGGTTTGAGCCCAGGGCCTCACACATGCTAGGGACCATTCTTAGGCTTTTACCTTCCTTTCTATCACTGCAACCTTGTTATCCACTTGCTTGTTTCTGGCATGTATTTCTGTAAACAGGCTTAAATCCTCTGTGCATTGTGATGGAGCACTAATAATTTTCAAAGGGTACAACAAGAAAGGGCTGAGAAAGGCAACCTAAAAGCCTTATTAGACTGACTGACATTTAAATGCTTGATCTGTCAAATCCCAATAATGGAGAGAAAATAATGCCAAGTCTTTCAAAAGCA